TCTATTTTTAGTTGTTTGGCTAATTTCTTTCTATTTATAGTAGAGACAGGGTTTTGCTCTTGTTCAAGCTGGTCTCGAACTCCTGAGCTCAAGCAATCCTCCCGCTTCGGCCTCCCAGAGTACTAGGATTACAGGCATAAACTGTCTATTTTTTCTTTAACAATTTAACTTTCTTTTATACTTGAAAATGTATCACTATAAATTTTTTACGAACAGGGCTGTTTCTTCTCTGTGTCATACAGATTGCTTTGTATAGATATACATGTATGGCTATTAAATATTTGTTGCTATAAAGTGTTGGGTGTCAGTACAATAATGATAATAATAAGTAATAGCTAACATCACATCCTCTATGCCAAGCACTGTTGTAAGCATTTTACATAGAGTTGCTCAGTGTAAAACCACTTTTATCTGGTTGTCTTTATTTTCCTGGCAAAACTCTTAAGAATCTATGCTGTAATAAATTCCACAACTCATCCTTCACCTCCCCAACAAGAATAACTAGAATTCCAGTGTTTTCCATGTATTATTTTGACTTCAAGAAGCTGTCAACTTTTTAGATCCATGCTAATCCCCAAGGCTTGGTCTGAATACACAGTAGGTATCTACTTTGCTTATCTTAGGACATAAAGCAGTAAACAAAATGTAAGCTAACTTTACACTTAGTGTAAGTCCTTGACGTTAGCTTCACTGAAATAGGAGATGCAATAAAAATATTGATTTGAAGTCTGCTTTGCCTTTCATCATTTTTCAGAAAAATATTGATCAGGATCATCCTCTTCAGCAAGTATATGCATATATATAAATATACTTCTTTATCCCTTATGATGTAATAAAGACTAATGGATTGGTTCAATTTAGAAAGCTAACAAAATAACAATAGTTTTTCCTCTCAATTCAGAACTTATTTCTGTTTTTAAAAAGGCACATAATCTCATACAATTATGCAGTTTTACTATTTAGCAGTGAGAGAAAGGTTGATGAAACTGCCACTAGACAAACTTGGGACCTGACTTTTTAATAATAAATAGAGTTAATGCATTTTCTTCTAGAGCACAGGAGGTGTTTTTGCCAATGAGTAGTAATTGTCTCACAGATTTAGGGGATGGAGGATAATCTGGCTTAGTTCATTTATTTATTTATTTGAGGCAGAGTAGTGCTCTATCGCACATGTAGAGTGCAGTGGCGTCATTGTAGCTCACTAGAACCTCACACTCCTGGGCTCAAGTGATCCTCCTGCCTCAGCCTCCCGAGTAGCTGGGACTACAGGCATGTGCCACTACACCTGGCTAATTTTTCTATTTTTAGTAGAGACAGGGTCTAGCTCTTGCTCAGTCTGGTCTCGAACTCCTGACCTCAAGCAATCCTCCCACCTTGGCCTCCCAGAGTGGTAGGATTACAGGTGTGAGCCACCCCACCTGGCCTATTTAGGAACTTTTAAAGCACTAGCATAGAACCACCTGTAAAAAATGCTGTTCTTCTATCAGCCAAAGCTTTTTGTTTTACTATAGCACACTTTTACCTTTTCTGAAGGTGTTTACAGATACTGACCACTTATTGTTACAGTTTTGGCACATTTGTTTTAACCACACTGCTATACGTTATGGATTCCACAAGGCTTTAGCAATCAAATTGTAGGTTTAAGAAATTTATTCTTCAGTCATTTCACTTAATTCATCCATGTATTTGTTCATTCATTGCATGTTTACTGAATACCTACTATGTGCAGTTCAGGCACTCCAGTCTTATCCGACATTGGACTACTAACTAGTAAGATTTTTATTTATTTATTTTTTTGAGACAGAGTCTGGCTCTGTTGCCCGGGCTAGAGTGCCGTGGCGTCAGCCTAGCTCATAGCAACCTCAAACTCCTGAGCTCAAGTGATCCTTCTGCTTCAGCTTCCTGGGTAGCTGGGACTACAGGCATGCGCCGCCATGCCCAGCTAATTTTTTCTATATATATATTTTTTAGTTGTCCAGCTAATTTCTTTCTATTTTTAGTAGAGACGGGGTCTCGGTCTTGCTCAGGCTGGTCTCGAACTCCTGACCCTGAGTGATCCACCTGCCTCAGCCTCCAGAGTGCTAGGATTACAGGAGTGAGCCACCACGCCCAGCCAAGATTTTTATAATTAAATTCTATTTTTAAATTATTAATTCCTTTACATGGGACAAAGTTGGAAAGGTACAATATGCAGTGAAAAGGAAATCTTGTACCCCAGTTCCCTAGCCATTCACCTCACTTCCACAGTCAACAATATTGCCAGTAACATTTTTATGTTATTAATATTTTTATTTCCTTCCAGAGATAGTCTATGTATATTAAGTATATACATAGATACATTCTTTTTATATACGCTGGCAGCATTCTGTGTATACTATTCCGCACCTCTAACAGGTTGTAATGGTTAAGATTTTATTACTCCTTTGGTATATTAGATTCATTTCAATATCATCACCAACACATTTCAATATTAAAATGTTAGTTTAAAAAAGATGTCCCAGAAAAGACCCTGAAGTAATTTTCCTAATTTCAATAAGGACAGTGTTTATTTCAGAAACAAAATGTTATCACAAACTTTTACTTTTTCTAAAAAAACAAATTCTAAAACTAGTTACAAACAATAAATACAATGAAACAACCAAACAAAAAAACAAGAAAAAGAGCAATTAAAAGAGAGTAATAATAGATACAGGCTCCAAAAAGAATAAAGGCTCAGAAAAAGGTAGAAGGGTAATAAATTATGTGAAGATGTGCATTGTTATTCGATAAATGGCCAGCATGTTACAAGTTGTTCTTTTGAATGATCAACTATCAATGATAACCTGCTTAGCCAGTAAGTCAGAGCCTAGCCAGGGAGTTCTGTGGGTTTCTCATTTTTTTTTCCCCTGTCTGGCTTAGTTTTCTTCTAATAGTACCTAAAGAGGCCAGATATGACTCATGCCTTCATGCCTATAATCCCAGGACTTTGCGAGGCTGAGGTGGGAGAGTTGCTTGAGGCCTGGAGTGTGAAACCTTGTTTCTACAAAAAATGAAAAACAATTAGCCAGCCATGGTGGCATGTGCCTGTAGTCCAAGCTATTTGGGAGCTAAGGTGGGAAGATCATTTGAAACCAGGAGGTTGAGGTTAGCAACTCTATGTAAATTACCAAGCTTCGGGCATTCCTTTATAGCAACACAAATAGACTAAGACAAGATACTCTAGACTTCAAGCCCTAAAGTGATTCACTAGTAGGTTTTAGATTTGAAAAACAAAATAAAATCATAAAATGATGTGGATAGGCCAGAGGAAAACTGTAAAATAAAGGACATTAATTGAAAGCTTTGGCCTGGGACCGTAGTTGTGGTGATTTTGCTCTTTAAAAACAACTTTGGGGTTGGCTCACGGAGGAGGTGACTCACGCCTGTAATCCTAGCACTCTGGGAGGCCGAGGCGGGATGATTATCAGGAGTTCAAGACCAGCCTGAGCAAGAGTGAGACCCCCATCTCTACTAAAAAAAAATAGAGAGAAATTGGCTGGACAACTAAAAATATATAGAAAATATTAGCCGGGCATGGTGGCACATGCCTGTAGTCCCAGCTACTCCGGAGGTTGAGGCAGAAGGATTGCTTGAGCCCAGGAGTTTGAGGTTGCTGTGAGCTAGGCTGACACCACGGCACTCTAGCCCAGGCAACAGAGCGAGACTCTGTCTCAAAAAAA